AATCTACAAAAGTGGATTTGCCTGCGCCTGATGATCCAACTAATGCGACTATTTGACCTTTTGCTACTTCCACGGTTACGTGATCTAACGCTTGTAACTCCGTATCTTTATACTGAAACGATACATCATTAAAAATGATCTTATCATCAAAACCACTCTTTATTAATGCATTTGGTTTGGTCAATATTTCATTGTGCGTCATCATGATACGGTCTATTCGATCCATAGCAGCGAGACCTTTCTGAATGTTAAAATATGCATTAGAAAATGATTTTGCAGGTTCTATGACTTGGTAAAATGCAAAAACAAAAGCAAAAAATGTTTCAGGATCTAGTTCATTTTTAAAAACCAAACTCGATCCATACCACATGAGAATGGTGACGACTGTCACTCCCAAAAATTCAGAAACAGGTGAAGCTAAGTCCCTTCTATTTATTACTTTGATCAAAGTGTTTCTAAAAAAATTATTTTCTTTATCAAATTTTGTGACGTTGTACTTTTCCGCATTAAAGCCTTTGATAATGCGCATACCTCCCAGTGTTTCGTCGACTTGAGCCGTAAGGTTGGCTATAGAGTCCTGCACATTGACAGACTCTTGCTTAAGTTGAGATACCACCCTTCCTATTATGGCACCAGCTACAACCACCAGAGCAAATACAAAAAGTGTTAAGGAAGGACTAATGTAAAACATAAAAAAAATACTTCCCAACATGATGATCGGTGCTTTAAACACCGCTTCAACTACATTTAATATCGACCATTCTATCTCTTGAACATCCGAAGTCATACTAGAGAGAAGTACACCTTTTCTTTCATTAGAATAAAATGAAAGTGGAAGTTCTAAAAACTTTTGGTAAAGCTGTTTGCGCAGGTCATAGATAATCCCATATCTCAGTGGAGCAATAAAGTATAGTGCACCATACCTAAAAATGTTCTTACAAAAAAAGACAAAGATTAGGGTAATACAAACCCACAACAAAGCGGTCTCTCTGCCTTGTGTATTAATTAAGGTGGAGATATAATACTTAATCCAATCATTATTAAGGGCAAATTCCGTCGGCTTGACAGGTATATCGTCTACCCTATCAAACAACATCGAAAAAAAGGGAATCAATAACGGGATGCTGATGACCGTAAATATGGACAGAAGAATATTAGAAATGATGCTTAGTATAAAGCTTCGTTTATATTCCTTGATCCGGGACAGCAATCGCCATAATCCCTTCATTTAATTTGTTTTTATTGGATCATTATTCATTACAATCATTCATATCGAACGTATTCATGAAGCCAGTGTTAAAATCACCTGCTCTGAATGCTTCATTTTTCATCAATGCCTTGTGGAAAGGAACTGTTGTTTTAATACCTTCAATGATGAATTCGTCTAATGCGCGCTGCATTTTTTTAATACAATCTTCTCTTGTCTGCGCTCTACAGATCAATTTTGCAATCATAGAGTCGTAATATGGTGGTACAGAGTAACCTGCATATACGTGTGTGTCTACACGTACACCATGACCTTTGGGACTGTGGAAAGAAGTTATCTTACCTGGGCTAGGTCTAAAATTATTCATGACATCTTCTGCATTGATACGACATTCCATCGCGTGCATAGTCGGATAATAATTTTTGCCAGTAATAGCGATACCCGCTGCTACTTTGATTTGTTCTTTGATAAGATCGTGGTCTATAACTTCTTCTGTCACAGGATGTTCTACCTGAATTCTAGTATTCATCTCCATGAAATAGAAGTTTCTATGTTTGTCTACCAGAAATTCTATCGTACCTACACCTTCATAATTGATGGATTTACCCGCTTTTACAGCAGCATTACCCATTTCTTCTCTGAGTTCAGGTGTCATAAATGGAGAAGGACTTTCTTCTACCAATTTCTGATGCCTTCTTTGTATAGAGCAATCTCTTTCTGAAAGATGTATGACATTTCCGTGTTGGTCACCAATGATTTGGAACTCAATATGACGTGGTTCTTCCACATATTTTTCTACGTAGATACCATCATTTGTAAAAGATGCTTTGGCTTCTTTTCTTGCACTATGCCATGCATCTTCGAACTCATCGTCTTTTGTAACAATACGCATACCCTTACCTCCACCACCAGCTGTTGCTTTAAGGATAACAGGGTAACCAATAGAGTTTGCTATTTTTATTCCTTGTTTTACATCTTTAAGTAGTCCATCAGAACCTGGAACTACGGGAACACCTGCCTTGATCATGGTTTCTTTGGCCGTAACCTTATCACCCATTTTGTTGATCATCTCGGGTGTAGGCCCTATAAATTTCACACCTGACTGTCTGCAAATCTCAGCAAATCCTGCATTCTCAGCCAAAAACCCATATCCCGGGTGGATGGCATCAGAGTTTGTGATTTCAACAGCTGCCATAATCCGTGGAATATTGAGATATGACTCAGAAGACGCAGCAGGCCCGATACAAACTGCCTCATCTGCAAACCTTACATGAAGACTCTCAGCATCAGCTTTAGAATAAATGGCTACAGTTTTTATCCCCATTTCCTTACAGGTACGGATGATTCTGAGTGCTATCTCGCCTCTATTGGCTATTAATATCTTATTAAACATTAAGCATTCGATTATACAAAATTAAATAATGGCCATATAAACTATGCGCAATATATAGCAAATGTAAATTAAAAGTGAAAATGCCCTAGACTTCTACCAAGAATAAAACTTGGTCATACTCTACAGGAGATGCATCTTCAACGAGTACTTTTACTATTGTACCAGTGACGTCACTCTCTATTTCATTAAACAACTTCATTGCTTCAATGATACAAACAACATCTCCTTGTTTTACAGCATCACCCACTTTAGTAAATACTGGTTTGTCAGGACCTGGAGATCGATAGAATGTACCCACGATAGGTGACTTAATTTCTAGGATATTTTTGCCTTTAGTAGATTCTGCTGCTGGAGCTGCTGCTGATGTCGGTGCTGGAGCACTACTCGCAGGTGCTTGAGGAGCTGCGGGAGCTGGGGCAGAAACTGTATAAGCTTGTGGTGTAGTCACAACTGTTTGGTGAGCACCTTTATAGAATTTTTTAGTCCTAATCTGGATTTCAAAATCTTTGTCTTTGAGTTTGAAATCTGTTAGATTAGACTTATTCACCAACTTGATGAGTTCCTGTATTTCGTTGAAATTCATATGGCTTTGTTTTTAATTGGTTACGCTTTAACTCTTTCTAAATAACCACCTGTTTTGGTGTCTATTTTGATTTTGTCCCCTTGATTGATAAATATTGGAACTTTCACTTCCGCTCCAGTCTCTACTGTTGCTGGCTTAGTGACGTTGGTAGCAGTATCTCCTCTTACCCCTGGTTCTGTATATGTCACTTCTAATACGATACTTGCCGGCATATCTGCTGTCAAAGGTATATTTTTTTCTGCATGAAACAAAATTTCTATTTCACTTCCTTCTTTCAAGAAATCAGGTCTTTCGAGCATGTTTTCATTTAAAGATACCTGATCGTAGGTTTCGTTATCCATAAAGTTGTATCCACTCTCATCACTATATAAGAATTGGAATTTTCTTCTTTCCACCCTTACATCATCGATTTTATGTCCTGAAGGGAAGGTATGTTCTACCACTTTACCAGTAGTAAGACTTTTTAATTTAGTTCTAACGAATGCGTTTCCTTT